GAGGCCTGCCTCGCAGAGCAGGAGAAAATCTATACAAAAGGAACAGAGTAAAGGGCTTGGAGCTCAGCTTCATAGTAGAACCTGGGGGAAGACAGCGGACAGTTGGGTTGAAGGAACAGAAGCAAGGAAAAGCCAAGGGACCGGCGTTCAAGGGCTTTTTAGAAGCCGGGTCTGTGAGTCTCAGTGGGCAAGGAGGGGAAGGAGAGGGGGGTGGTTTCGGCTGGGCTCACACTGAGCAGTGAAAAGAGGCGGGCCCAGAGGAAGCCCTTTGGAGGGGAGTGAGCCAGCGCCTGAACCTTCATGACTCACCACACTGTCTGGGCAGTGGCCATCGGGAGAGCGGAGCAGAAATGGTGCCCACAGCCTGAGTGCAGTGGGAGGGGCTTGAGGGCATCTAAGAAGAAAATGGGCTCTGCTGCCAGTCTGACCTGGGAAATACCCCACCCGATGGAGAGCCACGCCTACCCCTCCCCACCACCTAGGCCAGCAGGGGCGGGCCCCTGACCCCAAGGAGTGAGTTCCCTTCTCCCCCTTTTTGGCTTTGGGAAGAAGTCTTCTATGACACCAGCATCCTCCACCCTTCCAGGAGCCTGAGAAGAGCCCTCGGAACACCTCTGCAGTTCAGAATGCTTTGCTCGTGTTGAGAGGCCTGGAGACCAGACGTGCTCCTTGCCTGGGAGGTCAAGCCTTGACTCTCTAAATTCCCTGTTTAGAAGCTGAAAGGGATAAGGGGCAAGACCAGAGGCATGGGGTCCATGCCTGTAATGGCTGTCCGTGGCAAGGAGGGCGGTCCCCACTTACCTGAGCTCACCGTGAGAGGTGGGACAGAAACCACCCAAGGTCTCCCCTCTAGGCATAGCTCATTTCTATCCCAAGCATTGCAGCCGTAATCCTGCTGGCCTCATCCACCTTGCTGACCTCAGGCTCATGCTTTCCCAGCTTTCCCTCTCCAGGCCTTAGTTCTTACCCCTAACTGCAAAATGAGGAAGCCAGACCCTCCAAGCCTGCACTGGCTGCTGTGCTCCCAGGAGCCACAGTGGTGGCTGAAGGGGGGAGAGAGAGAGAGAGAGAGAGAGAGAGAGAGAGAGAGAGAGAGAGAGAGAGAGAGAGAGAGAGAGAGAGAGGAGCTGTGCGTACTTAGCAAGTACACGCCAGATTGAGAAGACTCAACACGGAAAGCAGGCGAGAAACACCTGCCCCGTGAGCCCCATGGATTATCATCCCCGATACGCGATCAACGGGAAACAACGCGGCAGGTCCCACGGGGACAGGATGAGAGCGCAGGAGAGGAAGGGCCTGGACTTCAGAAGACAGAGAGCAAGAAGCTCAGGGAACCCCGCCCCACCCCCCGCCCGGAGGCAGAGGTCTAATTCCGCCTCACGCAGGAAACACATGGACTGAAGCAGGCACCTGTGCAGAATCAGGAAGGGGACACGACCAGGCAGGAACCACGGGGCGAAGTGCAGCATGGGAAGGCATTGTGAGGGGCGGTGGTGCTCTAGTCCAGGACTGGTCTGTGGTGTGACTAGGGAAGGAGATGGTGGCCAGAGGGTAGCAGCCACCATGACAGGGTAACTATGGCAGGTACACAGTAGGCACTTTCTGGAAGACACTAGCCACAGACTTTCCCGAGGGCAACCAGGCCACTGATGCTGCTAGGCCTGTAGATCTGTGGGAGCTCACCTTCCAGCTCCCTTTCCCTTGGGAGAGGACAGTTTATTTATTTATGAGCGCGCACGAGCGCGCGCGCGCGCGCGCGCGCACACACACACACACACACACACACACACACACACACACACTCCCTCCCACCAGACAGCCAGGGCCTGTACACCTCACTTCTAATTATAGCAAACATTTCAATAACGCTGCAGGGAAACGCTAGGCTTCCAAAGACCCTGCTAGTGGGTGTAGGCCCCTTGTCTTCATCTCTGGGCTAGGAGGTTCCGAGTGTCCGGCCTGGCAGGTACCAGCCTCCAGGGGGAGAGTATAGCGCAATCCCACCCCCAGACACACAGGCAATGCTGCCTCCTAGCCCCTGTGAATGGCAAAGCTGCCCCGTGGACCCATGCTGCACTTGCGCTGTGGCCCCCGGCCAGGAGCAACCCCTCTCCTGGTTCTGCAGGGCAGCTTCCTCAAATACCTGTTTCAAGGGAGAGACAGAACCCGACAAGCCAGGTCAAGACCGGCAGTTCAGGAGCCCAGGAGGTGCCAGCTCCCTGGGACTGGCTTAAGAAGGACAGAGCAGAGGAGCTGATGGGCGCCTGGCAAGGAGCAGCTCTGATGATAAAGGAGAGCAGAGACGTGAGGAGGGACTGGGCTCCGCTGGCCAGGCTGGGCAGCGTGGAGAGAGTGGCCATGCAAGGGAGGAGAAGGTCATGAGTGGCCGGTCGCTGGGCGAAGGAGAGCCAAGGGGAAAGGCGATGCAGTCACTGGGGGGGGGGGGTTGGGAGTAGGGCTGGGGTGGAGACAGAGACAGTGTCAAGTCACACCAGATCTGACCAGCAGGTGGGGCCTGGGTCTGAGACCCTACCTCCAAGACACAGACGCTATATTCCACCAATACCCAGTGCACAGCCTGCTCACCCCAGCCCAGCCTCAGGGTCTTAGGCCTCTCCTCCCACTCTGTTCAGTTCTGGTACCCAGGCCACAGGGTGAGCCCAGGCAGCATTGCTCCTGCCGGGGTGATCTTCCCGAGGCCCTTCTCCAGGGTCCACTGTGGGGAGAGTCATGTCCTCACTTAAGACACACGGGGATGTCCCTGGGACCCCACTCCGCACCCTGAATGCCCTGAATACCCCAACTCCAGATATCATGTCCTCTTTATAGCTCAGACTCCTAGAAGGTTGGAGCTGAAGATGCCAAGGGGCTCTGGCCCTCCTGGCCCAAAGTTGACCGAGCCAAACTGTGCTTCTGTCATTTAGAAAGTGACTGAAGGCATACATCACCCTGCTGTCACTCCATACCGTAGAACTATATAGCCTGTGCCACCATCTTCACTGATGTCAGCTGGTCTCTTCGTTCGGTAAGTATCCCTGGGGGCAGCCACAGCGTGCTAGGCCACAGCCACGAACACACTGGGCTCGTCAGCCTCTACCCTTAACCTACTTTACAGTGGCGAACCCCGAGTTCAGAGGGAGGCATCGACTTCCCAGGGTCACCTGAGCGGTAGCCAAGAACGAGACTTCTCCCTGCTGCAGGTGCTGACCGCAGCTCCTGGCTACCACCCCAACTCACTGTTTCTAGGACACAGAGGTATTGATTACCAGCCCTACCTTGGAAAGGGTTTCTTTTCTTTTCTTTTCTTTTTTTTTTTATCCACCAAGGCTTTCTGTTTCTCACTTTTTTTTTCCTAAAGAATAAACTTGAAGCCCATTCCCATGATTAATTACCAGCTGCCTAATGCTCTGCCACTGGCAATTTCTGGAAAGGGAATGAATTACCTTGAAAAACACCCGAAAAGAGAACCCACCGTGAAGGAGAGCCGGAAAGGTTACCTGGCAGTTAGCATGGATTCCTCTAGCCGGGCTGGACTGCTGGTAGGCACCATCCGGAGAGGGCAGCAATGTAGCTGGCCCTGTCAGAGAGGCGTGTGCAGCCTTGCCCCCTCCCCCCGCCCGGCAAGGCCCCTGGCTTCAGAGAGCAGTATGAGGAGGCTGAAGAAGGCAGAGGTGGAGGTGGCCACCCCTGCATCTATGAAGACCCCCTTCCTGGCCTCTGTCCTCTGACGTCACATGTTGCTTAATTCCTACAAGCCTCAGTTCAAATCCCACTCCGCCACTTCCAGCTCAATGAGTTTCTTCACCCCTCTGGGAAACGAGGTATTACACAAACCTCCCCTGGGGGGGGGTCTCATGGGGGAACGTGTGTGCTCCAGGAGCACACAACCCAGGTGCCGGCAGCAGAGCCACGATTTTAACACTGTCAGAGGTATCTAAGCATCCTAGCAGGCCTGTCTTGCCATGACTGTGATGCTCACGCTCATCCGGGGATAAGAGCACTCACTCTTGCTACAGGGATCTGACCCGCCTACAGTCTCACACCGGAGAAGCAGAAATCTGGGGTTCCCGCAGCAGATGGGGGCCACAGCACGGGATCCCCGGCTGTCCTGCTGCTTGCTGGCCCTGCCCCGGGACTCCTGGAACATCATACTCCATGGAAAAGCTTCAGGCGGCTAGGCAGGGATCTCTACTCTCCCAAAGTGGCTCAGGGCCATGGTGCCCCGAGACAAAGGGCTCTGGGCCAATGAGCATCTGCGTATGGCTTCTGAACCCTCTCTGGGTTGAAAGCCAAAGAGTAAATAGAGATTACACAGGTACCCTTGTGTGTAGAGCCAAGTGTGATCAACCCTGAAATGCCATCCTGGGATGAGACACACCGCCAGCCAGCTCTATCCTCATGCTTGGTCCGTCATTCTCAGGAGCTCTCTGAGGGGACCTAAGTTCTCCATCAGGCCAGGTGGTCTGTTTCTACCCTTCCTGGCACTGGCAGATCCTCAGAGGAAGGGGATAGTGGGACTTGTGGGGAGGGAGTCTCAGAATCACTGAGGAATTAGGCAGTATGCTATGTGCATCCTTCATAATGCCACTACCGCCTGACAGACAGTTAAAGCCAGGGTCAAGGTTCTGGTGGACCAGTGCCAGAGTCAGGCTCTGAAACCAGCAGTGCTCACCATGGCCGGCTGGTCATTCATGGCAGTGAGCATACCTCTTTGACATCCAGGCCACCTCCTGGGGCATTCTGTGCCCCACTGGGGACACCGTGCCAGGCCTGCCTCCCATCACCCTCCACTACATCTCGGCAGCTAACATCAAGACAGAGGCCATGTGGCAATGAGCTGTAGGGAGCGTTTCGTCAGGACACAACGGCATCCAGTAAAGGCGGTGGCACCGGGCCCCACCTCGAGGGCTGAGGAGGCCCAGTGTGGCTAACACAGACACAGGACCCCCACCCTGCCGCTCATCGGCTTCTGGGAGCTCTAAGTAGAAACGTGCACCTACCTCAGTGAGCCAAGAGTCACTAGTGTTCCTGCACTGGTCAGCAGCTCACAGGCTTCCCAATTCACTCAAGGTCCATCCTCCTGCAATGAGAAGGGACGGTTAGTGTGTCCAGCTCCTGCAGGGCCTGCGACGCTGATCACAATGCCACAAACTGTTATCAAAAGGAAAGCTTAACAGACAGAACAGACTGACAGAGAGGAGCACCAGGGGGTGTTGTGGGGGTGATGTAGGCAGGGCCAGACACCCCACTTCTGTAGACTTCAGTTTCCCTGTCAATGGATTCTCTGTCTGTCTGTCTGTCTGCCTGCCTGCCTCTGTCTTTCTCTCCCTCTGTTCCTAGAGGATCCAAGAGAAAGTGTTGACACTCACACCATTCACCCAACAAACATGGCATGAACAGAACCCCCGAGCTGTGACAGTGGTGGTGGCTGCTTCAACAGCTAAGAACGAAACGAGACACTACAAAACCCGAGTAGCACCTCGAGTAATCAACAGGCGCAGGGGCTGCCCCAGTGCGGCTCAAAGGGTGGAGTGGCCCCTTTAGGAAGGTGACGCTAATGGATGAACCAGGAAGGCAGACCATGCACGATTTCAGGGAACAGCGTCTTGGCAGAAGCAAAGATTCTGAATGGTAGGGGACGAAGTGTGGTACAGACAACTTGAGAATGGCAGGCATGGGGCTCAGGGGTTGCGGGGGAGAGTAGCAGTGGGCCGAACCAGCCGTGGAGGGGCAATGACCTTCATTCCAGTTTGGGAAGAGTCCCCATGGCTGCTGAGGGAGAAGAGTTTGGATGGGAAGGAGGTGGCAGGGAGACCAGTTAGGGGTTGCTCCAAGGTCTAAGATGCAGAGCAGCTCTGCATGTAACAGGGCAATGGGGCAAAGCTATCAACACTGGGTCGTCTCCAGGGAGCTCACAGGTACCCTGGAGGCTCTCTGGTACGGTGTGAGAGATGCGGACCCCAAGTTCTGGCTCTATGAAAGCAGTTCTGTGGCGGGAAGCAAGCATTGTGTTTCCTTGGGCCAGCACCGTTGCCTCTAAGTCCCAAGAATGCTGGCTACAGGGCGGCATGCCTCTCAGAGAAGAGAGGCCTGGCTCACGGTGGGACGCGTGGCCAGCTGCGCAGCCTGGATTATACTCCAGTCAAGCCCAGCTGCCAGAGACTCCTGAGCCCTGGGGTCTAGGGTACAGTCTCCAACCAGAAGAACCTTGTTCAAGCCCCCAGTTCACCCTCTTTCTAAGCATGTGTGCCCGGCATGCATCTCCCTGCATTAACTGTAGGGACATAGCCCCCACCCCTACCCAGGCTTAGAGATGCAGACGGCGTCACGTGGTGTGTAGAGGGTGTGGACCCTTGTCCACTAGTTGGGATATGAAATCACCCCAATGGGGGTCAGTGCAGGGCTCCATGCGGGCAGAGTCCTAGAGCCACCAGGCAAGACAATGGGTTACTTTGAGACTATAGACAGCCCTTGGGTTCTGTGGCTGCAATGTTCCACTTTACAGAGGAGGAAACTGAGGACCGGGCTCTCATCATAGACAGCGGTGACTGGGCTGGTGTGGAAGAGGAATGACCCGCCTGCCTCCTGCCACTCACAGCTCAGGCGTTTCCCGAAGTCTAAGTTGGCCGGCAGAGCCGCTGACAAAGAGAAAATGATTATTTTGGCAGTGGAGACAGAAGTCAGAGCCGGAAAGGCCTTGCTCACTTGGTGGGTGTTATCCAGGCCTTAAGGAGCAGCAACGCCTGCCAGGCCTGCCACTCAGGGTGCGTGGCCTTCGCACGGGCATCTTACTCAGCACGGACACATGTCCCCATCTCCTGCAGCCCTACTGCCTCAGTGTTGAACTTGTCAGAGGGGTAAACAGGCCAGAGAGGGAAGGGTGACAAGTGGAGGACACTGGAATGTGAGCTGTGGACAGTGTCCGGGGTGTGAGTCTGCGTTATATGTAAAGGCACCGGAGCAGGAGGCTGACACTGAGTCAGTGCTATGGGGTCATGATGGCTGGAATTAGCCTCAGAAAAAAGATGCTCTCTAATTTCTATGCAAGGCCCAGAGAAGTTCTCTAACTGCCCAAGGTCACACAGCTACTGCAGAGCTAATAAACGTTAACAGCCTGGCCCTTGGAAGTCACTCAGTAGCCCTGCTCAGAGCAAGTGGATCTGAGGCCCTCCTGCAGAAGGAGGCTCAGGTACCAGGAGTGACGCTGTGGACACAGAAGAGATACGGTGCCCAACCCACTCAGGCCTGTTAGTATCCTCTGCTATGGCTCTCAGCCTGCCTGAGTGAGGTGACTTGTCCTTGGCTGCTCCCAGACAGTACAAACCACAGGGTAAATAGCAGGTCTGAGAGGCACTGTTTTCTTCCTCAAAGGCCTTTGGTATCTTGGAGGGTTGTGGGCAGTAGGAGCTCACCCTGGTTTCCTGTGGATGGGGACCCTTGTAGGGTGGGATGAGGGGTGAGACTCCAACCACAAGGCAGCTTCCAGCAGTGACACAGAGAAGGCCTCACAGAGCCACGCCCATCTTGGGCATGAGTCCAAATCTCCAGAGGGGAATGCGGTTGCTGGAGGCTCCACCAGGGCTCCAGAACCAGCAGACAGACCCCGGTTGGTCTTGCATAAGGCAGAGATCACTTGGGTGCTGGGACTGTCCCAGGGCCAAGACAGATTCCCCCAACCATTGCCCATTTACCCTTCTTACCCCCTCCAGGAATCCCTAGGAAGAAGAAGTGGGGGTTGTTTTGATGGAGACCATGATCTGGATTGGAACCCTGGCCTGGCCTCTGTGGGTAGGGCTGGGATTAAGTCCCTGCTTTGCTACTGTTGAGTCACCTTGAGCAAATCACTCAGCCTCTCTGAGTCCTTCCTAAACAAGGGATAACTTTTCCTCTAGCTACTCACCTGCAAGGGAAGCTCCAGGCTGTTGTGGATCTTGGCTGAGGATGAGCATACCTAGACCAAGGGTAGCTAGACAACTCTTACAGTGTTTGGGCTATCTATTGTCAAGCCTGCAGTCCCGAGGGCTGGACCAGACATGAAGTGCTCACGAGGTGTGGAGGAAGAGTCCAGAGAATGGTGATGAGACACCTTTGGGGAGCACAGAAGTGCCTCTAGTCACAAGTGGCTTAGTAGGAGCAGAACCTTCATCACACGGGCACACCCATTCCCAGCTGACCTGGTACCAAGACCTGAACCCTGCCACCCCCACCCCCTAACCCTTAGTCCTTGACCTGGATAGAGCAGCTGGGCTAACCCTACTTTTGCAGAGCTGATACGGCAGAGGCTGGGGCAGGGAATGGGTCCCTTCTTGGGTCCACCCAAACTCTTCATGGGGACAGGGACTTCCTCACCTGAGAGATTTACTAAGACACACATTCCCTGAGGTGACCCTGAGCCCAGGCCCTGGTCTTGGTCTCTCGTTGGAGGCCCAGGCTGGCTCCAGAAACAAGGCAAATATTTACCCCAGATGGTTATCCAAACCTTATCTGAAGCTCTGCCTTCTGCATTCTTGGAATACATGTTCCCTGACCTCACCCTCACGGAGCTGTGGGTTGGGGATCTGGACTAGGACAGCTCAACTCAGGCTCCAGAGCTAGGGGAGCCAAGGTCTGCTGGAGCTGTCTCAAAACATTCCCCTAGGCACCCACAAGAGCTGCTCTGGGATGTTCTTGGAAAAGTGCACACTGGCGGGAACCATCCATAGGCCTACCACAGACATCCCACCAGTGGCTACTTCACCTAGAGAGGGGCATGGGGTGAGATCTGTGCTGATAGCACTGGAGCCTATGATTCAGGGTTAGTGACACCAGCCAGGAGCACAAACACACACACACACACACACACACACACACACACATGCATGCACAAACACACACACACACACACACACACACACACGCGCATGCATGCACGCATGCACACACGCATGCAGAGTGTGGACTAGTCTGCTACCACAAGGATCATCCTTCAACAACTCTACCAGCTCCGTTTCAGCCCTTAGCATGGTCCTGAGTCCCCTAATGGGAAGGTCCCAATTAGCAGACCTCAAAGTACCTCTGGCTAAAAGGAGCAGAATTTTGAGGCCCCCACCTCACGCTGCACTTCCAGTATCTCTGTCATTGCCCTGCGAACCCTGGTCATCCTCACTCCCCGAAGATCCACCTGAATAATGCTGCCGTCACAGAGATGTCCCACCCTGCCCAAGATCTTTCCAGAGCTTCCAGAACATTTGGTCTTCCTTTTTGTATAATTAGAACCAGGCAGTTATTTATATTTTGGGCCATGAAGGCCACAAGAAAGGACTTGGCTGCCCTCATTCCAGGCAGGGTGGAGTTGGATCCCCGGGGGTTGGAGGTGCTCAGCATCTCTGCTCCTGCTGCACCTCACTAGCCTCCGGGGGACAAGCAGGTGGGCTGGGGGCTCTGACTGGGAACTCACGGGCAGGGATGTCTGAGAATAATCATCAGGGGGCCTTTGGTCTAAGAACCGCTCCTCACAGATGCAACCAGCCCAGGGACACCTGCTGTCACGCTCTGTCCTGCATCAAAGCAGGTCCAGGTCCCTCTGGCCAGAGAGCCAGGGAAGGGGTGGGAACGCTGGACTGACTTGCAAACAGGTGACGACTGCAAACCAGGGGAGTTAACCTACCTCGCGGGCCCTCATAGATGCCTCTGAACATCAGAGGCTGCTGTTCCAGGCTGCTGTTCCTGGAGAAGTGAACATCGGCAGGAACCACATGCAGGAGAGGCACCCTGTGAAACTCAGGCTCACACCCCAGAGGCCATCAGAAACCCCAAAGACGGCGCAGAGATGGAGGAGGGTTGCTGAGACCCGGTTCTCACTTTCAACGCGGGAGCTGTCAGCTGGCTCCTAGGCACTGTCATTCACTCGTCCTGTCCCTCGGGCCACTTATTTCTTTCCTTTAACAAATGATCCTGGCTACCACATGCAGGAGGAGCTAAACAGAAGCAAAGGGAGGCAAGGTGGCGGCGGCGGAGCGGGGGAGCGGGAGAGGGGGCCTGGAGGCTCTTCTGCTGGACAGGGTGTTCCCATTTTGAGCTGAGGTGGGAAGGCAGGTGGAT